GATTGCATGTGAAACCCATGTGATTACATGTGAAACCCATGGGATTGCATGTGAAACCCATGTGATTACATGTGAAACCCATGGGATGTGAAACCCATGTGAAACCCATGTGATTACATGTGAAACCCATGTGATTACATGTGAAACCCATGGGATTGCATGTGAAACCCATGTGATTACATGTGAAACCCATGGGATTGCATGTGAAACCCATGTGATTGCATGTGAAACCCATGTGATTACATGTGAAACCCATGGGATTGCATGTGAAACCCAAAATTCCCATGTGAAATCCATGAGCTTACATGTGAAACGTAAAATTCCCATGTGAAACATTTAATCACATGTGAAACCCATGAGATATCATGTGAAATGTAAAATATCTCATGTGAAACCCATAGAATGACATTTGAAACCCATCAACAATCCATGTTAAAGCTACACACCATGTAAACCTGTAACTTCATGTGAAATCCATGTAAAAATCATTAAGCAATATACCACAGAAAACGGTAGGCCTACCATGTTCTTGTGTAGGCTCTATAGCCTAATGTTTCCCAACATTAAAACAAATAATTAAAAAAAAAATTTTTTTCACTTTTTATTTCATTTCAAAATATGCAATACAAATTGAATGTTTAAAACAAACAAAGCAAAACCAAATTAAAATTATACATAAAAAGCCGCAAAAAACGCAGGTATACGCGCATGTGTGTGTGTGTGGTGTGCGTTTGTGAAAGTGTGTTGTCTCAGTCCTTTGTGTCTCCTGCAGCAGGCATCCTGTTTTGGGATAGAAAAAGATCAAAGATTAGGGCAGTGCAAACCATAGACTGTAAAAAAAAATATGGACGTAGTGTCCGTGACGTCACCCCGTAGGTTTCTGAAAAGCATTTTTATGGGGCTTAATAATTAATTATTATTCATTTGTAATGTTATTATGTCATTAAACGTTTTACGTAAATATGCTATGGAAATACATCTTGCTTAAACAACTGTATAAGACGAGTGGTGCGTCTCATTTATAAAAAAAACTATTGACAGTTTGTGATTAGATCACAATGTAGACTGAGGAATAAACTGAGTCATCAGTCCTCGCGCATGTCGGTTTCGCAAATGTGAACAGACCACATGGGGATCACACTTGGATGTTGGATCGTCTGAATATTACCTTTCTGCTCGTCTCCTCAGATCTTTTAACTTTTGTGCCATGCAGACCTTGATCTCAGTGCCTCCGATGCCTGGGTGCCTCTTTTTGACATGGTCTGTAAGAAATGAGATTGATTACATTAAAATTTGAAAACAAGTTTGACATGAAGTGACATAACTGTCAGATTCAAACTGTGCTTTCCGCGCTATGGCTGGCGCTGACGGACGCGCTCAGCGCTTGTCATATATAATAACTATTGATAAAAGATATTCAGACATGCTTACCAATTATTAGCTGCACCTTTTGTAGGTCAAGGCTCTTTTTTCACCAACAACCCCTTTTTTTCCGTTCATGCTGCCATCTCTTCGAAAGAGAAGATGGAGTCCATAAGAGTTCTGGTTAACTTTTTGTAGCCCTTACATCTTTGAGCATGATCCAAAGCAACTGGGTTCATTAAGTCAGTCACAGACTTGTTCTGCAAAGCAAAAAATAAAATAAAAAATAGAACATTTTCGTCAGGACAGAAACCGTGATCTTTTCAACGTTATTGCATATTAGGTGAGGTTTTCACTTTGGAGCTGTGAGTGTAAATTTTAGCATACAAGTATTTATTGTTCATGCTCGAGTCTTGATACTCTTTTACCTTCATATTCCAGAGTTTAGGGGTAAAATGCGAGAAATCTCCTTTAGTGGACTTGGATATGCTGGGCACTACTCACTGATCTATATAAATGACTTGATTGCTCATGACGTCATGTAAATTGAAGTCACCATATTCTATTGAATTAATAGGAAATCATCTGACTTTAATGAGTAAACATGACCTAACGAGTCAGTGTTTTTTATATTTGAATTCTATACATTCTTACCATGTAAACATCCAAAACATTTCTGATTATTATCAATGTTGAAAACAGTTGTGCTGATTAATGTGTTTGTGTAAACCATTGTAACAGTTTAAACCATTTTTTCCCCTCCAGGATTCATTGTTAAATAGACCACAAACATATGAAGGGTAGTTTACACTAATGTTCAAACATTTGGGGTCAATGATAGATTTAAAAATGAACAGAAAAAAAAGAAGAAATTCATATTTTTACTCAGCAAGGATGCATTAAATTGATCAAAAGAGAGAGTAAGGATTTCTGTTTCAAATAAATGCTGTTATTTTAACCTTTCTATTCATCAAATAATCCTGAAAAACACAAAAATATGAAGCAGCACAACTGTTTTCAACACTGATAATAATCATAAATGTTTTTTTGAGCATCAAATCGTCATATTAGAATAATTTATGAAGGATGATGTGAAGCTGTGATGCTGAAAATTCAGCTTTGATCATAGGAAGTAATTGCATTTTACAATATATTCACATAGAAAACAGTTTTTATTTATTTATATTATTTCACAATATTATTGTTTTTAATGTTTTTTGGTGAACATAAGAGAAAGAGACATAAACATTTGTACCAAGACAATTAGTGTATGTTTGACATTAGTGTATGTTTGGCGTTTTACTTACTAATCATATGGTTCATCAATAGTGCTTTAGAGATGAAGATCAGCTCCACTCCGCTCCGTTGAAGGGCATCAGCACTGAAGGATCTAAGAACACAACAAGCCATTTGTCACTGAGCCAACAATGCAATGCCAGGTTTATTGAAAGGAAAGAAGCTACAGCAGAGGTGAAATGCAGAAAAGAGAAAGAATTTAAAGAATATACAGAATATAATTTCTTAACTAGGATAACAGAATTTGTTTTTGGGTTTACTTATTCATTTAATTTTGCTCATACGGTGTAACTTCGTTTGGATGTCAAAACCTTCTTAAAATAAACAATTTAAAAAAACAAATTGAGAAATAAAATGAGGTTATTTAATGAGCTTCCTCGGCTCACCTGTGTCCTAACGTTACTTCTCCGGCAGCAGCTTTCTCCAGAAATGTTGAAGTCGTGGAGCTTTCTCTCTGTTATGGGTTATTTTGTTACTACTGAAATCACAGAACATTTTTTAATCAAAATGTGTTTAACGTTACCATTGAGCTAACGTTAGTTTCAGCCAATTTTCTTGCTCCTGAAAGTAACATCACCGATACGTTATGTTTACGTTTGTGTTAAATAAATTAGCTCACTTCCAAGTAAAACCTTTACAAAACCTCTCATCTACACATAAGAGGTGATTAAAAGCCCAAACTTTAATAAATAAAAGTTCAACCGAGTTAACATTACGTTAGCCTAGCTAGCTGCTACCTCTTCAGAAAACGGTTGAGATCCTAACGGACTTTTTCCGAAGACACTACACCATGTAAATTTTTAACAGAATCGTGTCAATTACAAGTAAGAGAAATGTCAAAAACAGTTGTGAGTATTATTCGTGTGATTTTAGAGACTAATCTCACCTGGAAAAAGCCGTGAAAAGTTTAAACAACATCGAGAGAGGGAGTTTTGTTGCTTACCAGTAGCAGTGGTCCCGCGCCGTTTCCATGGCAACTCTGCGCGCCGGCCGCTCCAGTGTTTGAAATACTCGAAAGTTCACGCGCACGGCATTGATTAAACCACGTCAAAATCATGCAGCACTTAAAATGAAAAGTTTAATATCCACTTTATTTTATTTGAAAACGTGCTTGCAGTAGCCTATTGATTATATCAAATATAATATACTGTTGATTATGTAAAATATATTTACAATATAGCTTTAGAAATGGTAAACAGTGTTGAAATAAAAGTATTGCAAAAACTCATTAAAAACTATACGTGTATATAAGTGTTAGTATATACACATGCATTATAAGCTTTATGTTCTATGCATTTTGTGTGAAAAAGGCTATTGAAGCTAAAAATGTACAGTATTTGTGACGTGGTAACATAATTCACATGTTAAAACCTATTACAACGTGCAAATATATTTCACATGAGCTCCACATTATTACCTATAACATGTTTTCCACATGTGCCACGTGTTCCATTAAGTTCACATGTGGTGACATGTTGTTCACATGTGGTCGAACATTACTGCATGTGGTGACATGTTGTTCACATGTGGTCGAACATTACTGCATGTGGTGACATGTTGTTCACATGTGGTGAAACATTGTTCACATGTGATGACATGTTGTTCATATGTGGTCACATGTGGGCATATGTGGTCACATGTGGTCACATGTGGGCACATGTGGAAAACATGTGATAACATGTGAAATTCATGTGTTTTTTCTGTAAGGGTCATAGCCTATATGACCAACTGATTGCACCATTGTATACTGCCACAACTCTGTTTAGCAAGGGAAAACATGATATGCCGAATTAAATTATAGTAATAAATCTCATAAATTTAAGTAATGGCAAACATTTGATTAGCTTATAATTATGTAAGCCCAAATCTAAGTCTATCCCCACGAAAACACTACCTTTCAAAATATTTATTCATAGAGGATGTATTAAATGCATATAAAGGCAGCAATTTTGAATTTATATGCCTCAAAGTATCCTGAAAAAATGTATCATGGTTTCCACAAAAATACATATTTTCAACATTTTGTAAAATTCTGGTCAACAAAACATGTACAAAATAGGCTACTGAAGACTAAGTATGTTCATATTTATATAGTATTTTATCAAATACAAATCTTGTCTATTATTCATCACAGTCAGACAGATTAGATATAAATATTATCTTCTTGTGACTCATTGTGAATAAGCAATAACTTACAAAAGCATCAGTTTATCAAGTATTGATTATTGCTGCCTTGCTGCTTCCGGATTTGTCTGTACATTGGATGTTGTAGTCCACTGACTAATGTTGGACTGTAGAAAGCAAGCGCGTAGTAACCTTACAAAACTACAACTCCCATAATGCACTGCTCCCTAAACGTGCCTGATCTACGCCGGTTTGACGGGTCCAGCCGAGAGAGTCCACTTCACCTGAACTTCTTCACTGCTGTGAAGATTTGAAACTATTAGTGGTCAGTCACATTCATTTTCATATCACCTAACAATGATTTTGTCGTGCCGAGGCTTTTAAACACACTGATGTGAACACGATTAAGAGACGTTAGCTGTGTTAGATGATTTATCATGTGCTGTCAGCTCTGTTCAAGTCAGGATTGACCGAAATAACACGTTGTTTAGACCCTGAAAGGGTGGTGAAGTCGTGTTTAATGAGTTACTAACATAATGAAGTTATTGTAATCACTGTGTTTTCACCATTAGATAAACAAGGACATCCTATAAGGATGTAGTTGTTAAAATATCATATTAGCATCATAACACGTTCAGTATTAGCCTAAGTCAGTTTGTACGTTAGTGTCTGACAGTCTTGTTATAAGTTACTCGCACAGAGAGGATTGAGACACTTCAACAACATGTAAATATCATTGCATTAGATAAACCGAAGTGTCATTTATTGTAAAGAATGATAGCACAGGCACACTTTTGAAGAAGGACATTTCACAATTTAGGTTAAGTTTTAAACATGTAAAAAAAGAAGGAAAGTTTTGACTGATAAAACAATAAGTTAGATATACAAACGACAACACGTAGTGTGACATTTTGTGTGTCTCAAACTCTAGTGGAATAAATAATCTTGTTGGTTATTATTATTAAAAACCAGAATAAGTTGGATTTTGGCCATCTATTTCATTCATTTCAAAGCACCTTTTTTTATTTTTAGGTTTTTCCTCTCAGTCATCTGTTGTTATTTTGTGTCAGGTGTTATGCATCCTTATTGAAATGAATGCATATCTATCCCAGAGTCCTGCTCCTGGAGGGCCACTTGCTGCGTCCCAATTAGCCTAATACTACGCTGTAAAAGTACTGTTTTTGTGAAGAAAAAGTACATAGGCTACTTGAGTATACTGTGTATCCTCGCTCATGAGTCACGACTCCTCGCGAAGCTTCCTCACTCCTCGCGGTGCAATTAGAGAATTGAGATGCCATTCAAGATGGCTGAGTTTGTTTGTGTCACGGCCTGGAGAAGACAGGAGCGAGGAGACATCAATTTGAGTATTGAGAATCACCCACTGTGTACACGGATCTGCACTTCAGATTCTAACCGGGTAAAAATAGACCACCCAGGAAACTTTGGAATACTTATTTCAATAAACTATAATTTGGGACACACTATTTCTAGTTTTCGAGTATTTAGGACTGATAGTATGCGAACGGAGACACAGCAAACGTCCTGCAGACTTCAGTTAAACACACCTGACCCAGCTACTCAAGGTCTTACTCGAGGTGCGTTTACACCATGGTCTCGTCTCTCTAGAATTTTTTTTTAGTACATTTCTTAATTGCTTATATAGCATACATCTCCGTGTGGATCACACCGGCTGTTGACAGACTCCTTGTGCATACAAAAAAATATTCCTGTATTATTACAATTAATGGCAAAATGAATGTTTGGAAATTAAATTATATTTTCTACTGCCACACGACAGCAAAATATATCAATAACTGGCTTAAAACCATTTTTTGGGTGAAAATACTAAAGTGCCTAAGACTTTTGAACAGTACTGTATACATAAATATATATATATATAAAAACAACTTTTTTGTGTAACGTTTTAGACCCATAAAGCAAAAATAGATAAAAAATTAATAATTCTGACATTAGTGCAATTCTAATGCTAAAAATAGTTTTGAATTGTATTTGTTTCCGTGTCAATCAAACCTGTTTTAAGGATAGTGGGATAAGTGTACATGCTCGTAGAGCTCGTAATTACAGCTTGTAAGATGGGAATTTTCTGAGAGCTTCGACTTGTTCCACGTGACCCCGGCAGATTCATTTAGGCATTGATCGAAATGCATAATTCCCAGTCCGAGGACATGATACACTGTGTAAACCCTAACGCTCAAAATAATTAATTGGTTTGAGTAGGACTAATTAGTTCAGTCAAATTAACTTTTATGAGTATCTAGCACTCTCTTTTTCTTTCAAGTTCACAGAACTGATTTATTTTAAGTAAACTGGACTGTTTCATTGTTTTGAGTTTTATGAAATTATTTATTTTAATTTAGATGAACTTAAGTTTAACTGAAACGGCTGGGATGTCTATTTCCCAGCATCCTTTGCCGATGGCACTCGAAAGGGAGAGTAAATGCTAAAATTAAGTGTAATATAATGTTGTTGTTTTTTGTGCAAGATTAATGTTAAGTGGGAGATTTAGTAGTGATTCATGTTTTGTTATGCTAATTTAGAAGAATTTCTGTTAATGTTGGTTTTAGGATAGTTACCATCATGGTGACGTGTGCATGCAGTGGATTTGAGAGCAAAACCTTTATATTGCTGCACTCATACAGGAAGTGATACTGTGTAACGTACTATTGTTAACAAGTTAACTAATTAGTATGTTAGCAAACTAGCTTGTTAAAGCTAACTAGGTTTAGATACTAATAAAAGTGTTCACTTTGATCATGTGTCCGGCATGAGCAGGTCCTGCGGCGTGACCATGGCTCCCCCTCGGCTCACTGGAGCCCTGCGCTCCTTCTCCACCGTCAGCAAGCAGGACGATTCAACTCAAGACCTTTATGATCTGAAGGTAAGACAACATGAATCCAACTCAAACCTTGCTTCATTTCTAGTTATTTTGCCATATTTAAGTTGAATAGATGGCAACTATCTGTGTGTGTGTGTGTGTGCATCAAAATAGAAATCAACTGATGTGATCATATGCATGTGTAAATAGCTGGGTTTCAGTCACGTGATTATGATGGAGGGCAGGGAGTGAAGAGCGCAATGGACGAGATGGAGGAAAGTCCGTACTGTACTACTTTACACGCTATTACAAGAGAAACATATAAACAAAAAATCAAACATATGTTGGACGTGATCCTTACGTTATGAAGAGGAGCGATTTTTCAACTGAATTGAAAGATTTTCCTGCCATCGAGGCGCTAGATATCAGCAACTACCTCGTCTTACACACATACTTTGACTTTACAAAGTTCGTAAACGTCACACGCTACACAAACACAGCCACTTAAGTTGTATTAACTCACCTTTGACGAAGTGATCACCGCACACACGGGCATTTTCCCATTCGGCTCCTCCCGACCGCAGATGTAGGTTTGCAAGCCGTTTTTCCGGACAATTTCTTGCATTTTCCCCCCTTATGAACAACAACTTTTGGTACACGATAAAAACTCCTCGTGGTTTGATCGATTTAAAGGGATAGTTCACTTTGAAATTAATTTTTGATATGTTTTAGCGTACCTCAAGGGCATCCAAGATGTAGGTGTCTTTGTGTCCGCAGTAGTTTCAATTTTGATATTTTGAGGTCAAACCGTTCTTGTCTGTCAGTCATATAATGCAGGTCTATGGTCACCACCTCAAAGAGCATGCACAGAGAAGTCCAAATTAAACATGATTTAATGACTCGTAAATGTAAGTACACATTGATGTGTGGGGATGGTAAGATTGTTTTTTACTTTGATGAGAGAAGTCTCTTAATGCTCACCATGGCTGCCTTTATTTGATCATTATACAGTAAAAACTAGGGCTGCACGATATATCGAAATATCGCAAATATATATATGGCTTGCAATAACTGGGGTCATGAACCCCAGTTCATGACCCCAGTTATTGCAAGAGGGGTGGTGATGGTGCAGTGGATTAGACACATGCCTTTGGTGTGAGAGACCCGGGTTCGAATCCACTGTGAGACACCAATGTGTCCCTGAGCAAGACACTTAACCCCTAGTTGCTCCAGAGGCGTGCGACCTCTGACATATATAGCAATTGTAAGTCGCTTTGGATAAAAGCGTCAGCTAAATGAATAAATGTAAATGTAAATGAACAAAAGACAAAGAGAAAATCACTCGCTGCTCTTGGCTGAATAACTTTTGTAGCTTTAATAAGAATCAGTATATTTAATTCATAGAGTGAAAACTAAGCCGTGTTTTATTTTTACTAGGGCTGTCAGTTAAACGCGTTATTAACGGCGTTAACGCAAACCCATTTTACCGTCGTCAAGTTTTTTAGTGCGCGATTAACGGTCTTTTTGGCCTAGCAAACTTTGTAGTTTTTTTCACATGCTTTTGCAACAGGACGCGGCGCTGCGCTATGATGAAACCCGTTCATTTCAATGGCTTGCGCCGCGCGAGGACGTTTTGTTGCTTCGTCGACCAAAGCGCAAGCGGATCTAGCTAGACCGGTGTTGTGCCTAATTTCGACCCCCTGCCAAATTATTACCCCCCTCGTTGAAGTCAGTACCTGATTGCCTAATCCCAACCCCGCCCCTAAACCTACAAATGCTAGGGGGTAATAATTTGGTGGGGGTCGAAATTCGGCACAACACCTGAAACAAAGCAACAGGCACGACGCACACACTTGTTTGGGTTTGCGAGGCGGCCAAATAGTAGGTTAACGTTACGTTTTGAGTGGATGACGAGCGCGAGACGCCGAAATGGACGCCAATAAGATTCTGAATGGAAAGTTTACTTTTAAAAAGTTGCCAAATGGTTCCATTGACGAGACCAAAGTGATCTGTGTGTGTTGTCGTTGTGAACTGAGCTATCATCATCGCAGCACGTCCAGTCTGAAACACCACTGATGATGGCCAAGCACACACACACACACACACACACACACACACACACACACACACACAGCTGATGCGAATTCTCCGCCCCCTCGTCAATATCAGGACCTCGTCAGTATTTCTTTCACCCTTTTATTGATGGTCAGTGTTACATTGTGTGAGAGATTACCGTATTTTCTGCACTATAAGGCGCACTTAAAACTAGTTGATTGTCGAGTGCGCGCGCGATCAAACCTCCTCCGTGTGTTCAACATCTGATTCGGATGAACTATCCATTTGAGCTGATATTCTCAGAACACCACAGCACCGTTATCGGCTGACAGCTGACAGTCTGAGTCTCCACTGTTGCTTAGTTACCAATGATCGCGCGTGCGAACTCGACAATCAACTACTGTGGACTTCGACCGAAAACAGGGAGAAAACACGGGTATGTGAGCTGGCTGAATAAACATAATTTTTATTAATATCTTTCACATTTACTGCAGTCAGATTCACCGTGTTCACTCACATGGCTGTGCACTTGTAATGACACATTAAGGTTGTTAAGAGGCAACGCAACAGGCATAACGCAAACCCAGTCAAACGTTTGACTGCAGTATCTTATGCGCCTTATAATCCGGTGCGCCCTATATATGAAAAATGTTCTAAAATAGGTCATTCATTGAAGGTGCGCCTTATAATCCGGTGCGCCGTATAGTGCGGAAAATACGGTAGTTGCTCCAAGTGAGAGTGTTAGTGTGAAATTGAACACAGTATATGTCAATGTTGTTTTCAATAAAAAACATTTGCACAAAGCAATCCGATCCACTTTTCCATGTTGATAAAAGCATTAAAATGAGAAAAAAATAATGGGACAAAAAGAAATCAAGAGACATTTAGAATAGATAAAAATTTGCGATTAATCGCGAGTTAACTACGACATTAATGCGATTAATCGCGATTAAATATTTTAATCGTTTGACAGCATTGATTTTTACATTTGATTATTCAGTTTCTGTTGTTAAATAACCCTAATGTAGGATAACCTGAACCCCTAAATGTTAAAATAACACTTCTCATGCTACAGTAAAACACTGCTGTTCACTTTCAGAAGTTGTACGGATGTTTTCTTGTCACAAAAAGAATGTGAAACACGTATGTAGGTTATATAATAGATCATTTAAAGTTTACTTTACACACTTTAAGCATTATCGCATATCGCATAATTTAATGAGGTATTGTGCAGCCCTAGTAAAATCAGCAGGGTTGTGTGATATGACTACATTAGATCGTTAGTATCGTACTGTACTACAGTGCACATTAATGTGCATTTCTATGGCTATTTTTTGATTATTACTGTTCTCGATTATTATCTATATCGCGATTACGCTCGCGTGACATTGCAGTAAACAGTTGGGAGAAGATTAATGCATGTCATTATATTGGATCTGTGCATTTGTTCCTTAAAGTGACAGCAGCCTAAATCCTGCTACTGTCTGCGTTATTAATGTTTCAAACAATAAAAGAAAAAAATAACTAATATTCATATATGCATTAATTTGCTGCAAAAGTGGTTTTACCTACTGCAGTTCATTTCACGTATCACTTTGTATTTTATTGTGTGCAATTTGTATCTTTGTTTGTATTTTTAATGCGTATAAAAAAATAAAGTGAAATAAGTTTTTGGTCACACCGCCCACCCCTACTTTGGTCTAAATTTGGCATAAATGGGGGCCAAAATGGGTTGGGATTTGGTCGCTTTCTGACAAAAGAAATATGAAATACGGTTAATACAGCTACTCCACTAAAATAAAACAAAATACTGTAAGATATGCTACCCTTGAAATCCAATCATAAAATGGTGGTGTAACATGACTTATTACTGGATCAACCAATCTTAATGCCAAGTGTAAACAGGGCCATAGAGACTTAGATATGTGCTTTTTAAGATTGGACCCTTCGGTAACCATTCATACAACCCTAAAAATGCATAATAATATCCCGGTGCCTATAGCATCATGGCAACAAGCCTCAGAAAAAGTAAGAAGTAGCCGTTTAGATGTTATCTGCCCAAGCAATGTCTAAAGTGTTTTTTTTAAACAATCACCTGTAGTCATGTCCAAGACTGGGCACATAATCAGCGAAAGTTAGGAAATTTAACCAATCGATTAGCCGTGATATATGGATTAAAGTGGACTTAAGGCCACAGATAAATCTACAAAGTGCTGTTTTATGCTGATAATATCAGCCTACCGATTTATATCGCTCTAATTAATAGCTAAAAACAGCTTTTGTCTCTTTGTAATCTGATGTCCTCTGTCTGTACTTCATTTAATCGTGTTTCTCCGACCTTGAGAGTGTGATTCATAGTGTATTATATGAGCTCTGACTGCTCAGTTTCTCTTTAATCCCTCTCTTTCTCTCTTGACTTTGCTTTTATTGGGGTTTTTGGGGGAAGCTGAAGGCACCATCTTGGTTCAGTGTAACTTCTTTCCTCGTCTCTAAATGCAGATTTCTTTATCGGCGCTGCTGCCGGTTTTGGACGGAGAGCAAAGGGTGCAGTTTTTCCCGAGCGCTCACTCATAATGCTGAGTTTGAGAGGCCGCTGAAGTGCTGATACAATGGTGTGGTGTTAATTTACTCACTGGCCCGGTGACATGACCTATTGAGCACACATCACAAACTGAGGCGCTTATTCAAATAACCCTTTTCTGTACCCTTCAGCTGTATGAAGTAGAACTGGTTTCATTAATGTTTTACCGAGTTTCATGCCCTCAATTAATATGGTTTTTAATTCACTAGTCTCACAGAGGGATGGGCCGATTGTAAATTAGAATACAATGCTCCATGTAAACGCACCTAGTGTTCCTCATTTAAATAATTAATATGCAGAATAAAGGGGCGGGGCCTGGTTGAGTGAGTTAGTAGAGTGTTGAAACTGGTGGTTATGGTAACGGGCGGGACATATCTGAAAAATGCTTGAAGCTGTTGACCAATCACAACACACTGATCCAGCCGACCAATCAGAGCACAGTGTGCTTTCAGAAGGAGGGGCTTCATAGAGACAGGAAGTAAACAGGGCGTTACTGACAGACTGGGAAGAGAGGAGCCGCAACAATGGAGAATATGAGGAGAATAATGTGTTTATTGAACATTCAAGCATGAAAACATGTTCTTGTAGAGCCCAAAAACATAATCAAGATTCATAGTATGGATTCTAATAATATAAAATTTACCCAAATATATATATATTTTAATATATATAACCAAATAAATGGTGTACATTTTTATTTAATGCTGACTTTTTAAATCGGAGGAACAACCATAGTCCATTAGATAAAAAAAAATAGTTATAAGAAGTAAAATACAGAGTTTTAAAACTATAATAATATGTCACAGTATTACTGTTTTTGCTATATTTTGATCAAATAAATGCAGCCTGGGTGATATCTTTCAAAAGCATCTTACACAGGGTTCCCGCGGATCCTTAAAAAGTCTTAAAAAGTCTTAAATTAGATTTTTAAAATTTAAGGCCATAAAAAGTCTTATAAAGTCTTATTTTTACTTATGAAAGGTCTTAAATTTTAGATGACACTTTGACTTAGACATATCTAAAAGCTTTCCAAATTAAAACCATCTAATTAGCGTACGTATTTTTATTTATTTATTATTCTATCTTTGTGGATTTGCTCGTTCACGTGACATTTCGCGTCACTCGCGAGTCGCGGCAGCATAACTGTCTCCTGCACGCGAGAGGAGAGAAGGAGAAGAAAGGTCGTAAATGTCAGTTCAGTTGTAAGTTCATTCTTTATGTGCGTATGGTGTGCGATGTGTATTGTCTTTTATGATATTGTAATTGTTTTAACAATGTACGAGGCACTGCGAGCTGACATCGCATTTCTCTCGTGCTTTCACTGCGTGATGTGTGCAGTGTAACTGTTATGTCCCCAAGTTAGTTTTTGTCTTATATTTATATCATATTATGTTCTTATATTAGAATATCACATCAGAAAGAGTGCCGTTTTCCCGTGCACAATTCCAATTGTGATATTTATGTTATACAACAGTTAAATTAACAATAAGTTAACATTGAGTTACTTTTTAGACACAATATTGTCAATATTGTTTGTTTTCCCTTTATTTCGCCGACTATAATATCAAAATGAAACCGTAGCAGAGTCTCAATGCAACCGACAGCGATGATTTCTTGACTGAATCCGCATTTTGAACGAATCACTTGCTTCTTTCCCGAATGAATCAGCCGTTTGAACGAATCGGTTGAATGAATGACTCCCTTAACTCACTTATTAAGACAGTGATTTGCCGCTGCGGTTTCATATTTAAAGTACCCTTTAAATAAAATGTTAAAATTAGAAATCATTTCATATTTAAATATTGAATATTGATTTAAAAATATATATCTCATAGCTTTATTTATGCAGTTGTAAATGGAGTGTAAATAAATTAATGCCACTTCTGATGCCGCTTCTGTCACCTCTGCACTGCAAAGATGGATTTTGATTGAATGATTTAATTTGACTGTAACAGTGGTACTGTATGATTATTATATAATTAAGTATTATTGTATAATTACTGTATAATTTAATTTGAATGATAGTATTTGACATTAAAGGTGATGCATAACTCTAAATAAGTTTAGAAAAAATGTCCATATATAGGTGAAAATGCCCCTGAAAAAAATCAATTTAAGGTGGCAAATATTGCCCCTTAATTAAAATATTAATTTCTGTCACTGCTGTGAACTGACCACTGCATAGAATATGAAAAATATGAATATCTTCGTGAGTCAGCTGTCAACAACAGACCTAAACCAGCCATGGCACCAGCACAAAAACACAATCAGTAAAATATCATCTAATTATTATCAACAAAACGTTGAAAATATCAAGATATATTTTTGTCAATATTGCACAGCCCTAATGTACGGTATTAATTTTGATTTCTTTAGGTCTTAAAAAGGTCTTAAAAAGCCTTAAATTTGACTTTCAAAAGTGTGCGGGAACCCTGTTACAGAATCTTAAATCTTACCTTTTGAATGTTAGTGTACATCATACATCATACATGAAAAATGCTTCCGTGAACATTTTTGAGTGCATCAGAGATGTATTACTGCATATATTACTACATCTGTCTTATTAACACTTGTATAGTTGGTGCTTGCAGAGCTAATCAAACGATAAAAAAACCAGCCATTTGCACATATATCATGAATATTCTGAATATTGTCCTGGCTGAGTATCATTATTATAATTTTTTATTTTATAAATGGTGTTCATTGATATGTCCGTACTGTTTGAATTTAAGCTTTGTCAATCTTTTTGCAGACCAAGCGCCTGAAGCGGCAGGAGATATTTGCCCGAGATGGTCTAACATGGCAGAAGATTGTTCAGTTCTTCACACAACATCTGGAGAAGAAAGATCAGCCGGCGGCCTCTCGCGAGCTGAAGAACATCCTCCAGGCTGCCAAACTCATCGGTGGGTATTTCACATCTTTGGCATGATTAAAAAACACGATCCAAGCCGGAATCTACAGTATATTGCACTTTACAGACTGACTCGAATGGGCACTTCCATTGCAGAGAGCCGCATTGATTGTAATGGAAGGTACTGTGTTTAGTTTTGTGATCTGACAAATCAGTTGCTGCTTGTGTAGATGCAGTATAACTAGGTTGTTTACGGCAGTGCACAAAAGGTGAGTATATTGAATATTTGATGACTGTTTCAGACATGGTTCAATCAGTCATATTTATAATGTAAAGCTATTTTTGCTCTGATGACAATCAGAATTCAATTATTATTATTCCTCATTATTCTATATGAATAATATTTTGGTTGCACTTTATTTTAAGGTGTCCTTGTTACAGTGCAATTATACATTTAAGTACTGAGTAATATTATTTACAGGTATATACATAATATTTACAGGTCTCTCTTGTAAAAGAGATTTTAATCTCAATGAGACTTAATACTACATGTAGGGTTATACTACACTACATTAGGGTTTGGTTTAGGGTTAGTTGCATGTAATTATGCATATTTTATAGTAATTATAGAAACTACATGTAACAAGGACACTGTAAAATAAAGTGTTACCAATATTTTAATTATTATTAATTATAATTTAATAATAATTATATTATAATTTCAACATTCTGTGTGATGCTCTGCATGCATATTATATTAGAATAATAAGTTATCTTCTAAGAAAGTTTATATATTATTTTGGGTTATTTGTCCTGGACATCAAACATTTAATGAAGATCTAATGAAATAACATTTAAAATGTTACTTGGATTCAGTAATCACTATTTTTGTTGGATGTCTGCCTCTCTTTTGGCAGCAATTGGCTTGAAATGTATTTTGGTCTAATTCCCCTTTTATAACATCATTTTTTAATTGATTTATTTTTATTTTTAAATAATCATCTTGAATAAACCTCTTGCTCCAGGTCAGATAGTAACATCCAGTTTCTTCTAAAACGCAACATTTTATTGATAGACATTGTGCTCACAGCCTGAACATTGATTTATGCATGCTGAAGTCTTTATCAAAAATAAATTATGTTTACTTTTCTGGGCCCATGGGCATCAACAGTCCTTTGTTGTACTCAGACATCACATACTTGTGTTGTGAAAAACAAAATGTTAGATTATTAGTTAATTTATAGGGAATAGGCAGCTAATTATTACCTCATTGATTAAGTGATAATTTTGCCACCATTTCATCACATTTTGTGGCATAGTGGTTATGGCTGAGTGTTAATTATATAAAAAGCAATAGATTTATAAAATATAGCAGAAAATATCTTTAGAGGATTATGTGTAAAGCACCCTCTGAAGCTCTCCATATCAATATTCAATTCAGTAATATTTTAGCATATGTCTTCAGGTTAACCGTCTGTCAAAATAGATTTTCTTTTGCAGCAACTTTGCTGTGGTTCATTTTCTGCCTAATACCATGAAGAACTAATCAAATCCAGCACTGGTGGTAGAGTTACTGAACCACCTTAAGGTCAGGATCATTTTCCACATGTCAGCAACTCACTTAGCATCTAATGATTCATGATTATATAGCCACACTTCACCTCAACGGCATTCAGTTGTCCTGATAATTCAATTTGATAAGTCCCTCGTAACTCTGCTGTGGTTAAATAGCCACGAATGGCCTTTCTCTGCCACTGTGCTTAATCTTGAACTTGTAGGACTATTCCACAACTATGTTCTCTCTCTTTTTGATCTCTTTGCTTTGTGAAGTGGACAGCAGACAGAATGGCATCCGTAACCCCCTTTTCAAACGTCACTGTGGAAAAGGCTCACTTCAGTGTGATTGGGTTTCTGTTGGAACAAATGTCTTTTGTCATCAGATAAGACAAAGCCCTGTGAAGAGGAGGGCCACAGGTTCACTCTAATCAAAGGAAACTCTTTTCTTCCCGAATCTCACTTTTAAGAATTAAGTGTGACGTACCATAGAAATTCTTGAAGAACTTTGGCCTTTCTGTCACCTCCTCGGGTTTCTGTCACACTTCACCAAGAGCTACGGCGCATCCCAATTCTTGTAATTTGTAAAAGAGAAGAACATTCCAATTAAAATTGATTGGAACCGAAAAAAAAGAAGTGTGTAATGTTGGAAACTTTGTGCACTAAATTGTCGCAGCTTTCTATGGCCTCGTTTACACTGTCAGTTAAACAACATATCAAAGGTTGTCTTGCTCATCGTAAAATTTCGGACCCACTGCTCCTCGTTAAAGCCCGCTACAATATGCTCCCGCCAGTCCTGAGATCTCTCTCGCACACAGTAACTGAAGCACATGCGCAGGCTCAGTGATGGCACTCTTCGTCCTCCTCCGCCTCGACATCATGGTGATGTTTGGCGAACTTCGCATATATCGCAGAGCTAGCACCAAGCATATTTCGCGTTCGTCCATCTGTGCAAGAACCCCCTTTAAGCATGCGCGATATTTCAGATAGTATGTCAAGTGTAAACACATTAAAGGTACAATATGTAAGAATTTTGTAATAAAATATCCAAAAATCACTTGCACGGTGTGATATATATTTCCTGCAGTTGTGTACTTACAATATCCCAAAAGTCTCCAAAGATTTTTTATTTTAGTTTTAAATAAGTGGCCGTCCCGGAAAAAAATGTCGCCTGTCAATGACGCAATATCCGCGCTATCCTCGGTTTCCGTTCGTACTGCCTTAGCCATGACGTAACCATGGCGACAGACGTGGACAACCGCGTAGTGCGTAACGTTTAGCGTCGCGCGGTTCTTGTTTCTTTCAAACATAGACCATGGCAAGCAGACTTTGGGACAAACAAGGAGAACTAAAATGAGGATCAATATCGGCGTGGCGTTTTTGAGATGCCGAGAGCTAGCGTCCGCGACTAACTCAGACTCGACAGAGCTTCACGAGTCACGACAGCTTTATTAGAAAGGTGAGCTATTGTACATAAAACAAATCAATGTTATATAACGTTAGCTCAACATGATGAAATGTTAGAATATGGTCAGTATGTTATTCTAATGTTGATCTAGCTTACTGCTAGTTTCGTATAGCAAACGAACTAACACGTATAACATTATAACTTTCAACACACATTTAAATGCCGTTTAGTGTGATAGTGTAACGTTAGACCGAGTGAAGCGGCGCTGCGTTCCCTCACAAGTTTAATTCGTCTAATAAACTGACCTGTGTGAGTAATCCAGCACTCGCGGGTAGTTCGGTAGAGTTAACCCTCTGGGGACCAGAAACGCGCCCGCGCGTTTTGCCGTTTTTTTTTCACATAGCAGAAAAATAGACTTAAAATACTCTGTTGATTTTGATCGTACATATAAGTGTTATACATCAATCGATCTTGTTAATTGTCTATTATTTTTCTGTATACTCACAATAAAAACAAAGTTTTGTGCTTTTTGTCAAATAAAGAAAAATAAACATGATGCGAGTTTTGCCTTCTCTCTGTCAGTGCAGTCCATTCTGAAACACGTCCGAAAAATTAACTCTAACTCTGCAAATACTTGTCATACAGGCACGAGAGATTTTTCTTTATGAAGCTTGAATTCTCTTCTTTTCAATGATGTAATTTATATAAAAAACAAATATTCTCAGTTTATGTAATCTGTACGAAAAGAGAGTGCTGTCAGATTTTTTTTCCCCAGCTCATTACACTTCATTACGCGTTAATCTGACACGCCCACGGAGGACGCGCGCTATTCAAACGCAAATGTTGAGACAAGCCATGACAATGCCCACATCAGCCGTTCCACCGCGGCGGTAAAATTTGGGGTGTATTTTCTGCCTTTTACCGCCAAGAGGCGCTACAATCATAGACTCTGAAAAGTGTTCGTTTATTCTCTCTAATGTGTAATCTGCTGCCGCACCGCACTGATTCAGAGCGATTGAAAGCTGGTAGCAGATGAATTCAACAAGTGAAACGTATAGTTAAAATAATTCATAATCACAATACTGAAATTAGGCTACTGAAATGAAATTGAATAAATAATGAAAAAGTAAAACATTGCAATAAAAACATTTACAGACGTACAGACGATAGCTCAGTGGTAGATGTTGGCCAACAGCGTTTATATTTTACCTTCTTGATGCTTAAATAGCTAACTGTTTATAACTGTTTACTTATTTAAAGTCAAGAGTTTTGTTTAATTATTATTACAACATAAATTTGCTACATTCCAGTAGAACCGCAGCCGCTGCACAAAGGACACAAACTGATGAAGGAAGATTGTCAGCCGATTGCATCAGAAAATGAAAATGAAGAAGCTCGTCTTTAGTCTGCTAAATTATTGTGTAATGTAAAAGAACACTAAAATTACTTAAGTTTGAAACCAAGTTCGAACATTTCAAGGTTTAAATAAAGTGTCGGGACAGTTTTTTTAATTTAAAACAGGGTTGCATCGGGTTTAGAGTTTATTTCTTTTGCGATGCAAAATAAGAAACACTAGGCTAATCTTATTCTTGCGACATTTTAAATTTGTATTGCCAAAGAAATGACAGCTATATTAAACAATTAAAACAGTAGGCCTACAAAACGAAAATTGTCCAAAGCAACATAATTAAATTAAAACATGCGTTTTTCTTTGCCTCTCTCGCGCTGAATCTCTTTTTAACAAGTTTATTTAGTCTCCCTCGCTCTCCATATGAAAGAGGAACATTAACAGGCCTATTGTCCTGCGCGCTCGATACAGCACTGAACTGTCCCTCCAACCCCCCACAGGCTATCGGAGTCTGAGGCTGACTTAACACAAAGAGAAGTCGCAATTCACACTTAAATCGCTATTCTAGACAGTGTTGATAATGAAGGAATTAAATGATTTAGTTACATGTAGCCTAGTGATATTTCTATCATAAAAGTTTATTACTAAATATTTCATTATTTCAGTAATTGATGAAATAAAACTGGTTTGGGCCAGCTTTTTCCAAGCAAAACTAAATATAATCTGAAAAAAACGCATGTTA